GGACATACACGTGATCAGAATTAATTTCTAAATGGTTTTGGCCATGATCGCCTGTCCTTCTGTCCATCTGTATGTCCATCTATCTGGGTAACTATTGTGATAAGCATTCTGCCGTTCGCAAAAGTGCAACAGTCATCTTCAAATTTGTTACATGCTCTGAGAATTCTCTTGTGCAGGCTGGTATTGAAATTGAATTAAATCGGCCGCATGACGCGCCCACAGTACAACCTAATATGGAACGACCTTTGTTTTCAAAAATAACAAATAAGGAAATTGTATCCGTTTGTGATCGACTTTAACCAAAAAAAAAAAAGAAAAAAGAAGTAAATTTTCACACTCTGGAATCAAACGATACAATAGGACATTTCCGGCAAATGGGTTTTCTTAAAGTGATGCTATAGCGTTCTAGGCAACTGCGTATTTGTTGCATAGTTCAACAATATTTCTTAATTGTTTTTTTTTTGCAACAATACATCGTTCCATTTATTCGATTAGCGTCGGTAGACATCGGCAGTAACAATTTCATTCACTTTTAACAGTTCGCAATACACTCCACCTTACCTATCCCGCCTAATGGACTGCAAATGCAAAACTTTATGGCCACGAATGCTCCACTTCGGTGTCGATGTGCCTGCCTCTCCTAGGCGAATCCATGGCCTTTTGTGCTTGAGATTGCCATAATAAATTCACTCATCGTCGCCAATCGCAATAGGCCAGAGAGAACTCTTGTTTTTTTGCTTGGCAAGCAATAAAGCCGCGGTGTTAAAATAGTTCGGAACGGAATTTGCAGTCAATTAGCGTGTTAGCCATTTTCCCTCCTCTTGAATCGTTCCCATTGCATGTTATTGGCTAGAAATTGTTGGTTCATCAACCTACTAAGCTACTCAAAATTGGAATTGGATTTTCGTCCACTAAGTTTTACTGCAGGCCGCATTTTATCATTGACATTAAAATCATCATTTTTAAACCGACAATTGGGATATGGATGGAGTAGCATCACCATAAACTTCTTCAAATCGAACAACAAAAGTAGAGAATAGCGAAAATGCAATTTCAAGCATCCCATGGTGAGCGTCTGTATATTCAATAACTCAATTATACTAAATGGAAGACTGTTACTTTACGTAGAAAAAAGTCAAAATCATTTAATTTTAAGCATCTAATCGATGCACATTTTCCAAAGAGGCCGACATAGCTAACTAATTACGAGTGGCCTTTAACGATTTTCTACTTGTGGGCAATACAAGTTCGTACAAGAGATGTTTTTCTAGATGTACAGCTAAGCCAATAAAATGGTCTTGTGTCCACACTTCGAACTAATGCTCAAAGATATACTGTTCACGATAGGACAAAACATGTTCTCTGATGTGGTAATCACCCGGTCAACAAAAAATACACGTAGCCTACGTAACAGATTCGTGAAATGCAAAACACTCGATAGGCTGCGCTAAGATCAGGTGGCATTCTCAGTGACTCATGTTTTGAAAGCGTTTCGATAAAACTGCTTAGAGTGAGGAAATAGAGAGAAAGCACTTATTACAAGCAGCATCTAATTCGAAGCAAATGGCTTACCTGCTATTAAAGAGATATTAAGACTTGCATAGGCACGCAAAAGCCAGCAGTGGCAGCTAAGAGGAAACGTGATTATACTCTTTGGGATGCCATTGAATTGGCGTAGCATTGCTTGTACATGCGATTAACTCGGTTTCCAAGCAAAAGATATTTCTGAGCGCGACAATATAATATTTACCCATACAAAGATATCCCAACTACCATCGAGCGATATATATGCTACTGATGTTTTATTGTTATTGAAAAGTGATCGCAGGACCCATGAACTTTATGGGGTGTACGTTGCCCGCTTAAATGCAAAATAAACTTTTTACAAAATGCTTGAAAATTCATATATACCTGGTGTGCAATGACTATAATGTTAAACACAGGCTTCATTCTGTATAAAACCTAATACAAGTAATTTTTTTTTTTTTTTTTTTTTTTATTTTAGCTTAAAATAACTTTAATGAAATTTCTCTCGAATTTCAAAATAAAGCCGCTAACATCCACTGTGTGTTAATGCATTATAACAATACCCATTACAACAATAATAATAACAACAAATGCCGAAAGAAAAATGCAGTTTAATTACCACACTTATCACACGGTGTACGTAATTGTGGCTCGATTAACACTTACGCCCAACACATCACTAGGTTACTAATGCGTATGCTGGGAAAAATTTAATCATTTTATCGATTTCCTTTCTACTCTTAGCATATATACGGCACCGTATCTATCGTTACAAACAATGTTTGCAATTTCATTGCAAAATAGCTGAACATGCGTTCCACCAAATCATGCATAAAGTTACCAAAGCACAACAATACAACAACTAGCTATATACATATATATAAAGTTGGGGTTGATTGGTGTTAGTGCGTACGCATTTTATGAGATATGTTAGATATGTAGGGCCTGAAACAACCATTGCTTCATTGTTTCTAGTCTAACAATCTGAATAGCGTAGAGCACTTATTGACAAAATATCATCAGAGTATGTTAGAGAGAAAGACAGACAGAGAGAGAGAGAGATTTTATAGGCAACAATAAATATATTGACTATGACTTAAAGCAGCTAATTAAAGCCAAACGACGCGAATAATTTATTTAATTAAACCCGATGAAACCTTGAGAAAATACGCCCTATATATTGCCCGACCCATGCATTTCAATACATAATCGCAAAATTCACAATTAAAAATCCTTTTCTCTATTCTCCATTCTATTATATAATATATTCAAAGAAATCGAGAACAATTTCACTCTTACTGCTTAAGCAAAGATAACAAGCACAAATACTTGCACTTCTCATCGAGCTAATTAAGTTAAGTTAATTTTTACGCAAAAAAAAAGACAAAGAAAAGACAAAGCTCATCATTTATTTAATGACTTAAATATGTAAAGCAAAGCATAAGCAATAACAATGTGTGTTAGATGATGGCTGCCTTTATCGTTTGCTAAGCTAATTTATTTGTATCGCATAGATGTCGTTCGTTGTTTTCATGTCCGTATAATTAAATTAAATTGCAGACTTGCAGAAGGATATTATTGATATGTAAATGTTATCATTGTATGTATACGGTGTGATCTAATGTTCTCGGCCCAGCGTTATACGCTCTAAGACTATTTACAAAAGAAATTTGTTTAAGAGCTTTAGTAAGCTTAACAAAAAAAAAAAAAAAAAAAAAAAAAAAAAACAAAGCAAAAAACAAAAATGACTGTGGCTGCTGGTCTGTTTGTCTGTCCTTCAACACTTTTATCTCATATTCCTCAAGTGTGACGTTTATGATAAGCATTAACTGCTAAACTACTTGACACTGCCTGGCTGACAGACTGATTTCGTAACAAACAAGTGAAAACTCTATATATATATATATAAAATACCCAGAAATCGTGGACACAATATAAAGCAAAAGATTATGCTGATGATGATAACGATGATAATAATAATAGTAATAATAACGATAACGTTAAGCTTCTTTCGCTATCCATCTCTCTCCGTCCTTCGCTTTGCTACTTCTACAGAAATTGTAAAAATAATAAAACGAAAATTGGAAGCTTAGCAGCAACTAGTATGAGAGCGGTACCCTTTCCATGTTGAAAAGATAGAGAAGAAAACAAGTAAATTTAAAGATACAAGCAAATATAAAAAAGGAGAAAAAGAAAAAGAAGAAAAATGAATAAAGAAAAAGGCATTTAAAAAATTAAATTTCTGAAATATAAAACAGATTGGATTTGCATGCAAAGTGACCATAAACCAGCAAATATGTTTTAATGTTGTAATGAAATAGAGTAAAAATTAATAAAATGTGAGAAGATATATATGTTATATTCTATTATGTTAATTTAGAATATTTAATATTGACGAATTTTAGCATGTACTGAAAACGGTACATGTGGCAAAAAGTACGTTAAAGACATATCTCTTGAAGTCTTTAGTCTTCGCGAAAAGTTTTTTCGATTTCGGGCCGTGAGCTTTTTGGATTCAAGCAAGCAAACACTGTTAAAGTAAACGGATACAGAATTTATAGCAACAAAAAATGCTTTCACGATTCCATTCGATCCAAATTTAAAATCTGATCTAAAGCAAATAGAGTTTGTGAAGAATTTTAGGCCAAACATCGAAAAACTACCGTCGGATGAGAGTTTTCATCGTGCTGAAAGATCTATCGTAGAACTCTTCGCTATACTAAGTGTGATGTGTTTTCAGGTAACTACTGAATTCGATTTGACCAATCATAGTTATCAATCTCTGGCGATCATTTCCTAATTATAAAAATCGATAGTAATTTAAATGAACAAGTAATAAACTTTTCGACATATTCACGTTTAAGGCAACGCTTTCTAACTATATTCCATTAAAAACTTGTATTTGGTTTTATTACTTTTAGAATTTGAATTCTTAGAAAATCGTTTAGCTTATGGGCCAACTCATTTCAAAATTCAAATTTCATCAAATGATAATTAAATGGATAAAGAATTGATTGCTACCTTCTTTTAGGCCATCGCAGTAATCGTTCATTGCGAAATCTAAAGAATATTAATTCGAATACTTCCAAGTAAGACTACATTTGCGGTGACGAGTACACGACGATTTTTTATTGCAATAAATTATGTCAACTAAATAGGTATGAATTTTTTTTGGTTCCATCCTAGAGTCCTTTAAATATTTCAAACCGATCTTCAAATCCATTTAAATGTGCAATAAATGTGCTCAAAATGTACAAAGACTACAGCTGTCGCGTACGCAGTCGCAGTAGGAATAGAAATGGAAATAGAAGAATACACGTCTACCACTAGATTCACGTGGTAGAAGTGAATATATGTGAAATTTTCTAGTTTGGCCGCAGCACAGTCTCAAATTCGGGTGTTCTTCCATACCCATTTTTCGGTAACATATCGAATTTCAAAAAATTGTTAAAAATAGTTCCCATAAGCAAAATTGGAATTTTTTTAGTTTGTTTGAAAGGTATTTTCATGCAGACTCATGAAATGTCCACAAAAATATTTTACGTTGTTTAATATGGACAGAGGAGGGTTTCAAATCCAAATATATCTTAATTTTAATTACCTAACAGAGCTCTGTTAAGCCGTCAACAGAATTTTATTAACAGATATGGTAGGTGTCTTTGCTAGTTAAATTTGAATTTATCTTCACACCCCCTTTATAGATTTTTGTTCCCTGTTGTATTTGATAGAGCTTAAGCGAGTCATAGGGTTCGTATCCATGAACCTAACAGAGTGCTCTGTTATGTTCCTAAGCAACTTTCTTGACTGACGATATTTTTCTCTGCTTCATATTTCTGTGCGTCCGACTTCACTATTGTAATAATCCGCCTTAGGAGAAAATTAATACATATATCTATATATGTAAATATATATATAAGTATAAATATATATACATATATAGTATAAATTTATTTGCTAAAGTTTAGGGGAGCCATATGGTTCGTATCCGTGATCGTAACAGAGTGCTCTGTTATGTTCCTAAGCAATTTTCTTGTCTGACGATACTTTTCTCTGCTTCATATCTCTTTGTGCATCCAACTGCACTATTATAATAATACCCCTTAGGGGAAAATTAATATATATATCTATCTATATATATATATATATATATATATATATATATATGTATATATATATGGTTGTGTCTTTGTATGTTTTTTTGTGCGTATTTATGTCACTATGTGAGTACAGCACTTAATAACCAACTACAGCAACAATTGTAAACATAATAAGCGTTTAAAACTTATTAAATGTCAACTTAAAAACAATTTCCTAAAACGAAACTAAATACGTTCGTTCATATATATATATATATGAATGAATATATATATATGTATATATATATATTTGTTGTATGCGCTTATATGCCATAATATGCTGTTACTGTATAGCTATTGTACAATTATTATGTTGTAGAACAGTAGTAGTAGTAGTAGTAGTAGTGGAGAATGTGCTGATGCTGTCGTCAAAGAGGACAAGGAGATGGTGAATATGGAACACGAACAAAATACAAAATGCTTACCAACGTAAAGCAAAGAAATTTTGGTTATTTTGTTATTGTTGTTATTGTTATTGTCGCTGTCTTGATTGTTTTTGTATTAGTGGCAGGGTAATTGAATTTGCACAACATTTTGCATAATTAAGTGCAACGAGATAAGCATAAATGCTTAAAAACATATACAAACAGACAAACGTATAAGCAGCAAAAAAAAGCTACGAAAATACGTTATTTGTCTACAGCAGGGCATGCCTTCCTCAAAGAAACGAAACGATTAAAAAAAATTTAAAAAAAAAAGTCGAAAATTATCAACTAAGCAGTCAGCAAGCAACTCGAGTCACTCATATAAAAGTTTGCGACTACAATAATATCACGAAGAAAAGTTTATATTTAGCAAAATCATAAAAACCTTTCACTTTTTGTGGATATTAATCGAAATACGTACAAAGGAAATATTCAAGATAATAATACCAATTCGTTGATATCTGTTCTGTAATCAAGTCAAGTCAAGTTTAACATAGATTTAGTTTAAAAGACCGATGATGCGAAGGGGGTATGCTTAATGATCCGGTATGGGCCTGAATTTTAATTTCTTTTTTTTGTTTTCTTTTTGAAGGTAAGCGCAACGCCGAGTAATATCCTCTATTTGTGGTCAGGTCCAATCGATACAAAAAAGATCTCACGGTTTAATCCATAGTAGAGTCGATAAGCTTAAATATACACTCGGTTGCACATGATCGCAACGTAATCCAAAATATGATATACCATCTGATAATCCACCATAACGAAGGTCAACCAATCAGCCGTCAATTTATTATATTTTGGTCATCGGAACATCGGAAGGATGCGCTCAGGCGCTTCGCTTCTTGTATTTTGATGACTGATAACACACAAGGGTCGTAGTATTCCTTTGACGACCTTTTTACAAATTCCACAAACAATTTGGCTTTATTGACTCACTACTACTCAATATGTATATTGAATCTCAACTTTGGATCAAGAATCACTGCCAAGTAATTAAATCTAGTCAGTTAATCCCACCAGCTTTGTAGGTATCAATGTAATAAGTAGACGACGTAGTAGTAGATCAAGAAAAGCACAATTTATAGCATTTTTTTTATGTTCAGTGTTATACTAGCAGTCTTACACCATTTGAACAGACTATTGAAGCCGGACTAGAAGTTTGACATACCGTTAATAGAATAAATAAGAAAAAGGGAATAAATTCTAAGACTAAACTCTTAAAAGCACTAGCATCTAAGGCTATCGGCTTTTACTAAAAACTCTACCGCACTTGAGATGCAAACCCACGACCATTGACTTGCTAGTCGAGATTCCTCGCCTTCGGCTGCTCAGGCGGATATAGGTTGGGTTGTTTAAAAATTGAAACAAAATAAAAAAAAAACTAAAAATTATTTTTTGCAAGCTTTTTCTTGTTCTTTTTTCCGGTCGATCTCCGAACACACGTAATATATTCATTTACACCTTGGCTAAGTGCGATTAAACTTTATAAGGATTGCTTTTCAATTATCGCGTCATTTTTTGCTTAAGATTATGAGTCATGTGTAAAACTCTGTGTAGGAGCGAAACGTACAAAGTCCAGTGAAACGAATTGCTTTATAAATCAAATCATAGAGAATTTCATTAGCATACGCCCTAACAGTAAATATTTTGTGTCACATGTAAAAAAACTATTTTAATACTTCTCACCTACTCCATCTGCGATGCAGGGTAGATTAAGTTTGTGTGGATGTATATAACACTTATAAGGATGTATGGCAGATCCATCTTTTCTTATACCTATATAGTTACTGAATTATTTTTTGAAACTTAATTAAGCTTGTCTGGTCCGTCCGACCAGCCATCCATCCATCCGTCTATATGTCTGGTAGCTGTCCATTTGCACCTGCTGTCCATCGAAAAGTTGTTGTGGAAATGTTTGATAGAGTGTCGAAGTTTGATAACTTTTCGTCTTTTGGTCGAAGCGCAAGTGTTATCGGATCCTATTATTTTTACAATCATATCCTATAGTCACAGCATCTTCTTATGAAAAGGTCACTATATGAGAAACGTTTACATTATTCAAAATTCAAAATTCTTAACTAAAATCGCCAAGTAATTATTAATGGGATTTGATAGGTCAATCTACAGTGTTGAGCCAAAATATTGCATCAGTATGTCTTAAAAATTGCGAGTTGTAAGCTGCACACAAGAAAAGCAAGTCGGATAGATAAGCTCACCGAAAGTGATTTTTAGCCGGTCAGTATAATGATAGATGGATGGATCTATCTCAAGTCCTTTTGGGCTTTGCATATATCTGCACAAACTTAATATACCCGTGTAGCACAAGTAGTGTGTATGTAGGAGAAATTTTCTCCTTAATTTTTGATTACAAAAAGCGTTAGTCTAATGCAACGACATAGAGAATAATCGCACGTCCGAGGCTTACCAACAATAACTTTCTTCTTTTTTCTTTCCTCTTTTCCTGTCTTTCGCTTATTCTCAAACTCAATTCCATTTTATCGTTCAGTGTGTAACTTTTACAATATTTGTGCATTTTTGATATTTAAACTTACACACGCACACGCACACGCACACACACACCTCATTCGCACACCAACAGGCATTAGGGGTCACGCCGGCGCTTTGAGCGAAGAGAACCCCTTCAAAGTGAGCGGGAGAATAACGAGGTCGCCAGTAGGCGTGCAAACGCAGCCTCAGTTAGGACAGACGCTCCCAGAGACGCCAAACCACACACCAGTGGACGTGGAGGACGTGGCAGCCTTCGTAAAGCTGGGCGGCTACATAAACGATCTGGTTGCGATGCTGCAGGAAAACGATGGAAAAAGGCGGCACATAAACCAACAAATGCGCGACACAATAGACGGCATCAAAACGATGTATGAAAAATGCCGGCTTGATAAGGACGCCGCACACACTTCTCGCAAGGAGACTAGGGATAAGAGTATCCAAACTTCCTCGCGCACATACGCACAAAAGGTGATGGAGCGAAGCGGTGGGGTCACGCCGCTACAGTATGCAAGCGGGGAGAAGCGAACACAGCCTGGGGCGAGTAAACGTAAGCAGCCCGGGGATGCGGACACGCCGACCGCTAAACGTCGTAACGTAGCCATCACGGGGGCCGCTGAACAGCACACCGCTAGCGCCCCTAACGGCCAACGCCCATCGAAGGACTTGGAGTGGCAGAAGGTCAGAGCGAAAATGAAGAAGAAAAGAAAGGCAGATCGGCTAAAAGAAAGACCTGCGAAGGGTAGACCCGACGCTATCGTCATAGCAGCTAAAGGCGAGCTCTCATACGCGGATATGCTCCGTAAAGTTAAGGACGAACCGCAATTAAGTAAGTTTGGTGAGGCGGTGCAAAAGATAAGAAGAACGCAGAAGGGCGAGCTTCTCTTGCAACTAAACCAGAGCGGAGAGAAGGCGGAAGAGCTGAGAGCGGCAGTGGGCTCCTTTTTAGGAGGGGAGGCCGAAGTCAGGTGTCTGAAGCAACGTAAAATGGTCGAGTGCAAGGACATCGACGAAGTCACCACCAGGGAGGACATAAGCAGCGCACTTAAGTCCCAATATGGGGTGGCATCCGCAGAGGTGGTCAACTTAAGAAAAGCATATGGCGGCACGCAGACGGCGCTCATTACCCTACAGCAGGAGGAAGCCGCTAAGCTACTGGCAGGCGGGAAATTGCGCATAGGCTGGGTGATCTGTAGGATCAGAGAGCGCACACCTTTGTTGAGATGTTTCCGATGCCTGGAGTTTGGGCACATAGCAAAGCAATGTGCAGCTCCATCTGACCGGTCAAAGGCTTGTCGGAGGTGTGGAGAGGATGGCCATATTGCAAAAAACTGCACTAAGGACCCTTCCTGTATGTTCTGCAGAAAGACGCCGAATCTAGATGCTAAGCACGTGGCGGGAAGCGGGAAATGCCCGCTGTTCAAGCAGGCACTGATCGGTAAAGCGCGGAAATGAGAATAATGCAGATTAATCTCAATCACGGCGAAGCAGCTCATGACCTACTTCGGCAAACGGTCGCTGAGAAAGAGGTGGACCTGGTACTACTGAGTGAACCATATCGCAGGGCAAGTCAAGGCACTTGGGTAACCGACGCGTCCAAAAAAGCAGCAATTTGGGCGCCTGGTCCTATAGCACTCTTGGATGGGGACTGCCAGCACAGCGGATTCGTCAGGGCGACAGCTAAATATATATGCTACTATAGTTGCTACGCTCCTCCAAGCTGGACACAAAGCGAATTTCAAAGCATGCTAGATGAACTCGTCGCAGATGCCCGGGAGAAGCCTTCCGTATTAATTGCGGGGGACTTCAATGCTTGGGCCTTTGAGTGGGGCAGTAAGGCCTGCAATGCGAGAGGACGCAGCTTGCTGGAGGCTTTCGCCATGCTGAAAGTATCTCTTCTGAACGATGGGCAGCGAGATACGTTTCGTAAGGCAGGAAGGGGCTCGAAAGTAGACCTCACCTTTGTTAGCGACGGTCTAGTGGCCAGATGCAAGTGGTCGCTGAGTGAGGAGTACACAAATAGCGATCACCAGGCCATCTTCCTCGACATAGCATCCAGAGAGGACAGAGGTAATAGGTGGAATAAAACTACTGGGCCGAGGTGGAGAGATGCACTTTTTGACGAGGATGTCTTTAACACCATTATGGACTCCTACGTGGGTGGAGACGGTACAGCTGGTGAACTCCGGCAAAACGTAGGGAAGTTGCTGGTACAAGCATGCGACGCCGCCATGCCCCGAAGACGAAATACACGGAGAAGAGGGTCTCCGTGCCATTGGTGGACCGAAGAGATAGCGTCTCTAAGAGCGAACTGCTTGAAAGCCAGAAGAAAAGTGCAGCGCTCGAGAGGTAGGGAAAACTTCAATGAATTGCTCCTACTCTACAAAGACCTGCGCAATGACTTAAAGAAAGCCATAAGGGCCAGCAAAAGGAGAAGTCTTGAGGAAATATGCCAGGATGCCGATATTAACCCATGGGGAACGGCATATAAAGTGGCCTTGAAGAAGGTCAAAGGACAGAAGGCACCGCAAATCACGTGTCCGCTCGCGCTCCGAAGAATAGTTGCGACACTTTTCCCGCAGAGGCCGCCGTATGTGTTGGTAAACCTCCTCGGCAGGGAAGAGGAAGCCATACCAGCAATTTCTGCCGACGAGCTTTTAAGCGCCTGCAAGCGGATTGGGGACAAAAAAACCCCTGGACCAGATGGAGTCCCAAACAAGGCCTTAAAGGCAGCGATACGTAGGAGGCCAGACGTCTTCATGATGTTGCTGCAAAGGTGCCTGGAAGAAAGGACGTTCCCGGACGGGTGGAAGATCCAAAGGCTGGTCCTTATTCCGAAGGCCAATAAGCCACTGAACGAGCCATCGTCATACCGACCCATCTGCCTGTTGGACACAATGGGCAAGGTATTGGAAAGGGTCGTATATGAACGCCTGCTAGCTGTGGTTGAAGAAAGACGTGCTCTATCGGATAACCAGTATGGATTCCGTAGAGCGCGGTCTACAATAGATGCCATAAGCCACGTCGTGGCGCTTGCCTCAGACGCCATAGCCGGTGACCGATGGAGGGGCGGTGACAAAAAGTACTGCGCCGTCGTTACGCTAGACGTTAAAAACGCTTTCAACTCGGCGGACTGGGGGCTCATCCGCAAAACCCTCATAAGGATACGGGTTCCAAGGTATATACTTGAGATAGTGACAAGTTACCTTTCGAACCGCACGTTAGTGTACGACAGCGATGATGGAAGGCAATCGCATAAAATATCGGCGGGCGTTCCACAGGGCTCAGTCCTTGGTCCTCTCCTGTGGAATATAATGTACAACGGCGTCTTTGAGCTTAAACTTCCTACCGGGGCAACGATCGTCGGCTTTGCCGATGATATAGCAGTCGTAGTGACCGCAAAACACGTCGCGCAGGTAGAAGCGAGAGCTAACGAGGCTATCGTGAAGGTGAAGTTGTGGCTAGAAGAGATGGGGCTGGAACTAGCAGAGCAGAAAACGGAAGCAGTCCTAATAAGCAGCAGAAAGAGCGTGGAAACATGCTGTATACGAGTCGGACAGCATACGATGCGGTCATCTCCTGCCCTGAAATACCTTGGAGTTATGCTTGACCATCGACTCAAGTTTAAGCAGCATGTTGAGTACGCTGCTGAGAAAGCTGCCGGCATCCAGGCGTCACTAGCAAGAATCATGCCAAATATTGGAGGCCCGAAATTCACCACCCGAAGGGTTATAGCCAAGGTGATAACCTCAGTCATAATGTACGGAAGCCCAGTTTGGGCCAGTGCACTGAAGGTGAAGGCAGTGTACCGAAAGATGGCGGCAATACATCGCCTTAGCGCCCTGAGGCAGATTTGCGCATTCCGTACCGTGTCGGAAGAGGCAGCGCTAGTGCTAGCTGGCACTCTGCCAATCGACATCCTGGCCGATGAGATGAGCCGCATCTACAAACGGCGTCGCGGCAACGAGCTCCCCTCACACGTTACAAGAAGCGAGGAGCGGATGGCCTCGTTAAGGATTTGGCAGTCGAGGTGGGAAAGAACGACCAAAGGAAGATGGACGTTCGTTCTTATCCCTAACATAAGACGTTGGGTTGACAGACGGCATGGAGAAGTAAACTATTACTTAACCCAGCTTCTGACTGGCCATGGCTGTTTCCGGAAATATCTTCACAGATTCGGGCACGACAGTTCGCCTAACTGCCCGGTATGCGAGGATATAGAGGAGGACGCAGAACACGTAATGTCCTACTGCAGCAGGTTCGAGAATGGAAGGCCTCAAGTGCCACCTAACGAGATAACAAGCGCAATGGTTGGCAGTGCAGCAGCCTGGAACGCCGTAGACGCATTCGCCAGCAATACGCTCGTGGAGCTGCGACGATTGGAGAGACAACGGGTGGAGAGCAGAGGGAGTGGAAGCCGATAGTGCATTCCACTGAGGTCCCACCATCAGGAGCGTGCTAGCGACAACCAGCCCCCGCGAAGTAATACCTAACGGTGGTCCCGCGGGGGAGAGTGGTAGACGAAGTGTGTGTGGGGGGTAGTTTTTAGTACGTATGCGCCAGGGATGGCGAATCGTGCATGCTGCTACTAAGACCCAGCAGTATCTTTCGAAGATTTTCTACCTCCAGCTCACAGAGCAAAACAAAAAAAAAAAAAACACCTCATTCGCATAAAATATTTGAAACACGTGATTATCTCTGTTGAGAAGATATTTCACCTCAAATTGAATCGAATGGGTTACGACAAAATGACTAAACTATCCGAAAAATGAATGCGTAAGCATGCAAATATTTATTCATATTCGGTAAATTTGATTGACTGAATGTATTGGATGCGTATGTGCAGCCATAGCCATATGGATAATGCATAATGCATGCGTCATTATGTTTAGTTTATTAAGCAAAAAAAAAAAAATTTACTTTTACTTAAAAAGGAAATGAAAAATTGAAACAAACGAATTCCTGTGCATAAGGAAAGATGGAAAGTTGCTTTGCACACAATAAACGCATAAAACATATGAAAACAGACGCTATGATAGACTAAAGCCTATCATGAAATACCCTACCTACTCATATACTCATGATAAGTAAAAATAAGGCTTTTTATGTGGAGTGATCGAAAAAGTTATCCAATCCGTGCCATTTTCAATAGCGTTCGTTCTTGGGTCAAAGTACGTCAGTGTAATCAATTTCGTTAAAATATCGCGAAAATTACAATCTGTAAGACATCAGGCATATAGGTGGGGAGACGGACCGACAAACAAACAATGCTTTTAAAAAATGATTTGGCATCGTTCAGCATAACAACATATGGGTCAAGTGCTTTGGACAAACTGAACATGCCCTTGTACCACAAGCGGCGAAAGAGGCAAAAGCATAGACGCGAGCAATATTTGAATACGATATTCTTCCCTCTTAATTCCAATAAAACTTAATGATTCGAAACTATAATTGATATGTAGAAAACATTATTCAGCCCGTGAAAAGCAAAAAAAAAATAAATCAATAATTAAGTAAAAATGTGGCCGACTTGCAACAAGAAGAAGAAAACAACCCGGCTCAAATAATTACAAAAAATTATTTATGCCCTTAATGTAATAAGACAGAATACTATTTAGTTAAATGCAGACATTGCCTACAAATTGAATGAGATCCATTCGCTCGCTTGTCGGCATTACTTGCGAAGAAAACCGAATGAAAACCGATGATGAGTCTGCTATGACGCTGCCAGTTCGATTCGTTCAAAGTGCTTAAGTGATATTCACGTTTTTTGAATGCATAACAACAACAAAAAATCTCTTCTCTCAAAAACTTTAATATTGCGTTTGTCGTTTATCACAATTCGCATCACTAACAGCGTACAAAATAAAAACAACAAAAAAAAACGGGTTTGAAACAGTAGAAGAAACATCGGCAAGATTCGACCTGAATCGCAAAACATTCATCTACTAACATGGCAACGGTCAAATAAAGACTTCTATAAGTATTGTGACAAGAGGTTGAATTGTATGTTTGATGCATCCATCATGTCGGTCGGATGTCGTTCCTTCCGATTACCATTTATTTCGCTCTCTGCAGAGAGAGCTCTTTTAATGGTCTAAAGTAAACTTCTAAAGAGGTTTGTAAAATTCACTTGATTGAGTTTTTACTCCGAAATCTCAAAAGTTTTTTGATAATGATATATAAGTTTCGTCTGCAAAAAATTATCGATCAAAGTTATATAAATTTTACATAAAAATTTCACATACAATATAAATAAAATGTCTTTCAATGTTTGTGAATAGATTATCCGGTTATGTGGCGCCCCTTAAATGTTAATAAAACCCACTTATTATATTCTACCTGGATCTGGTCATTATTTGTGCAATACAACATCATTGAAATCTCAACCACGGGAGATTTTATAGAACTGAATGCTTTTAAGGTAAGAATCGATGACTTATCTGCACATAGCAGGCAATAGCTTAGCCCAAGCTTGATGATATTCGTTTTTAAAGCGTCCAGAGTTTGAGAATTTTTCGCATAAACTCAATCGTTTACCGAACCGCCCAAAATAAGGTTAAGCCTTTTCAGCTTATAAGAGTTTACCAACGAGAGGCCAACGTGGCCCAAATTCGATGAGATTGATTTCTAAGTCAATTTACGATTTTTGTGGAGAAATTTTGAAAATTGCAATTTTTCCGAAGAAGTGAATCGATCCAAATCATTTGAAATAGCGTTCGACTTCGGGTCCAAGCTTGTCGGATTAGCAGAAATTCAAAACAGAGAAATATCTCAACAATTGTTACATTTAGCTGGCAGACGAAGTTACATGCACACACAGACAGACAGACAGGCGAACAAGCAGGCTTTTAATGAAAGGTGGATCGATCTTAAGCCCTTCTGCGTGCTACATAAGTCCGCGGAAACTCAATACACCCTGTATCACAAGTGTTGTAGGGTACAGGCGGAAAAAGCAAAGGCGTTTCATTGCGATAGAATCGAATATTTGCGTGTCCGAAAGTAAGAGTTATATAGGAAAGTACAATTTAAGATCTACCCACCGCAACGGGTTTTACAATTAGGGTGCGGACGTCTTAGCCACTCGCCCATGCGACAGTTACATATTGTGTTCGCAAATTTCATTTCAAGTTTTTTTACGTGAAAATTCCAAATGAAACTATTAACCAGAATTATTGGAGAAACTGAACAGATTCTAAATGTGAAAGTATTTTTTATTGGTATTTATTGGTAATACTAGGATAATGAAGGTAAAAAAGTTAACGAAATTCTTATTATCACTACGGATTTGATTCGTCTTTTTCTTTATTTCCTCTTCCTCCACTTCTTCTTCTTCTTCTGCTTCTTCTTCTTCTTCTTATTATCATTGACCCGCCTTCTAAGGGCACTCTGCCTGAGGTATACATTCGGCCGTTTCATTGTTTACAAAAGCCTCCAAACAATAACAACTCGGATTACATGCGATACTTACGATAGGACAAGTCTTAGCTTTTGCTTCGCATGTCTCCCGACAAGAAGATTCACACGGGTAAAGTATTTGTGGTTGTGGAGTACACGTTCTATCCTCAGCTACAAAAATTAATAAATAAATATTAAAATTATGAATGTCGAGACCAATCGAAGACATACCACACCAGCATCCTTCTAAGATAATTAAAAGCAGTCCAAGACTGGCAAGACTCGGGATATTTAATTTGAAAAACATTTTCACTATTTTCACCTCTCAAAAGTCACTTGACTTTGTCACTTCAAAAATATTATTGCTTGGAATGTTCACATAAAAATTATTATTTATATGAAAATTTTCAACGCATTTTTCTGCGTTTTTTTTTCTTTTTCTTTTTCTTTTTTTTTTTTTAATGCTTTTCAAACATGCAGATGATGTTTTATCAGTTTAAATAAATTCTGTTTAGCTCAAAGCACATATGCCTCGCGTTCATCGACATTCGCCAAATCGGAGATACTGTGTTAGATTGTGAAATGAAAATAAAACCAGATGAATATATATTTGGCTTATCGAGATAATCATTATATCAAATAGCAGGTTCACTGCTTTATCTAAAAAATATTTAAAAAGCATCGTAAATACAATGCGTAATACGATGATAAGTGCCGTAGATGAAGAATGCCAAGATGAAGAAAATATTTATCGAAAGTAATATGTGAAGAAGTTACGTAGGGGAGAATTCACTGAACTTCAAGATGGCCATAAAAATATATATACACACAGATGTAATAATAATGGCATAATAAGTTTGTGAGAATGTGTACAACGCTCAGAAAAACTTAAGATGGACCTGTCTATTCTATTATATATTCTGTCTGTCAGCCCGGCTCAGAGATATTTTTTTTACTGAAATTCGATTCGCTTATAGGCTTGTTTTGATCTAAGGTAGGAGTAGAGTGAAAAAGTAGCATAGATTTTGCGGAAACTATTTTTTTGAATGTGTCGTTGTAAAAACGCTACCGGACAAAGTATCCACGATCACTTCGTCCATTGTTGTCATAAAATGCGAAATATTATACGATATTGTTATGTACGGTTTCACTTTTCACGAGAGCCCTTATATGAAGGCAGGAACTAATCGTAAAAGCCTTTTGTACAAATCTGTTAGAAATCATTTTTTTTTTAACAAAGATGTTTGTTCTTCTTTATTTAACTTTGTACCCAAAATGACAAGAAATTGGACTTTATTGTCCTATAAAACTTTGTTGCTTATAATAATTCTTTGAATCCATAGAAATAGGTACGAAAGATAAGGCTTTATGGAGCAAACTTGCTATGAAATAAATTTATTAGACAAACCGCTATTGTGAGTCGACTTAAGTCACGAAAAACTACATTTCGGAGTTTGTTAATCAATAAAGGCTTTTTTTTTTATTAGAAGCTTGATATGGGCGTGTACCGAATATCATCAAAATATCTAAGATATTGTGGCAGTCAAGCTTAAATCGATTCCGAAACCAATTCCGAATCGGTCGATCTAATAGAAGTCCATATCAAGTTCTTCTGGATATTGCATAAATCCGCGCAAACTTAAGTTGCTTTTATATCAAAATTGGGTATAAAGACGCCAATGATATGATAGCTGAGAAACGCTACTGTTGGATTATGAATTCTTTTCTACAATAACAATAATTTCTTACATGCGAAGGTAGTTTGTTTTTTGTCTTTCAATCCTTTGAAATATTTTTAAAATTCTGTTACTTTCAACGGATTAAAATAAAAATATACCTCTAACAGCTGGTACTTATTCAGTTTTGAACCTTAACAAAAGCTTGCATCCACGATTTTCACTCTGAGAAGTAGAATTTTGTTCTCAGCATACTGTGTTATGGTTAAAACGATAAGAAGCTTTATTATATTCTTCGACTAAAAGCTCTTGAAAAACGAAAAATGACTCATACATTGAAAATTTTAAAAATTAGAGCTTACAGCAAATAAGAGGAAGGAAAGAATGTTTTCTATAAAATGTTTTATATAAATTTGTTATAATTAACATGATTTTCATTTATTATATATCCATTTTATATAAAATATGACTGACTCAGCAGGTTGATTTGTGTTTTGTTTGTAGTAATGCGTATATATATTGTGTGAGTTAAACTAGTGTCAATAAAGCAGGATTATGCAATAAGTAAAAAAGTTTATATTCGGCTGTGGTCGAATCTTCTATGCACACCAGTTTTATCTTAAATAAAAATATACATGAAAAACACATTGAATTTACATAACTTGTACAAGTTTCGATCGCTCAGGAATATGCAGTGTTTTCCAAGTTTTTCCTAAACAATTATATGAATTTAAGAATTATTTAAATCGTTACTCTGCTTTATCGATGCCATAACGCCACACGAAATGCAATGAAACGGCAATGCCGGAATGTTAAAATTGATGGCAATGCATGGGAAAAACAATTTACAAACAATATCTAGCCAATATTCGCTCCAATGTAATGATAATTTTTTCTCACCTGCCTACTGGTATGCTACATTTATTTCCGATGCTCAGTTTATCAAGTAAAGAAAATAAATGAAAAAGAAATTATTTTTTCCAATATTTAATTTTACTCAAAATCATTATACGTATGTATAATGTGTATGCCAAATAATAAATAATATTAACAAAAATTACGGAAATTGAAACAAATCCGCAAAGTAATAAATGATGAACTTTAAAAAACTTTTTTTAACCAAAAGTTTGCCTACCTGATTGACATTTAAAAACTGAAAAAAATACAGCTCCAAAGAGCGCACAGCACTAATCGTAGATAGAGTTAAGCCAGCCGATAACTGATAAACATTTTGTTCGCATTCGCGTGCGCCAGGTTGATAACGATTCTTCGAACAAATTATTTAAGATGACTTTAAGATATTCCGGTGATGACATTTAAAAATTTGCAAACCGAAATTGTTGAAACAAATGATAATTACGATTAAAACGAGGATTTAATTGAACGAAGAATTTTTAACCTTTGCTTAAGTCGCTACTACTTTCACTTTAACTAATTATGAGATATGGAATTTATAAGGGAACATATGTACATATTTTTTAATTTATTTGTATTAAATCTTTTTAATATGCAAGGGTCTAGTGGTAGTGATTCCAAGTCACCTTCCACGAACTGCCGCCCTCCATTGCGGATTATCGAGAAGATGACACTGAAATTTGACCGTCCGGTGTGTGATGCATTTCTCTCCATCGCGGCGCTGCGCAATTTTCTATTTGTATTTTATTGTTTTTATTTAGTTAGAAGCTCCAGTGCCCTTTGCGGACGATAAGCCGAATACACATTTAAGTACACGAATGTAACTTATTTTTTAAAAAGTTAAACATTTCTTTTCCTTTTATTAGCTTCAACTGGCAAATGATGTCCAAACAAAGAAGGCGGCATTTGATAGACGCGATTTTTTTAGCTCAGCTGTTCGCACATAAACAATTTTTCTTGGTATTTAGTTTTTTTTGTAAATTTATAAATGCAACGCTAGACAATCAATACTAATAGCAAACTGGCGCTCTTTTGCTTTCACGCAATTCGACAAGTATGAGAGAGTATATTTGACAGCTGTTGTGCTTACGTGATCACAAAAAGAAGCGATAATCATCAACCAATGCTGTTTGCTATCGCATATGCTTTCCCAAACCAGCCGAAAACATAAGCTGACTTTCAGATAAGTAATTACCTGATAGATTTTTAGTAAAACGATTTATACATAATTTATTTCGCTCTTTCTCTTTCATTTAGTCATTAGTATAGTTGCTAGGAGATTGTTGACTACTTTCGCTACTACTCTCTCTCTCTCTCTCTCTCTCTCTAGTTATTGTTAGAAAAAAATCCTCTCGAAGATAAGCAAAATTTTGCAATAACAATGCCTGCAATCGTTACTATCACAGAAATTTCCTCTCCTTGAAAAAATGAAACAATTAACAGATCGAACTAACTTGATCTCTTTACTAAAAGAAGAACTGAACTGAGAAATGTTTCACTCTTCACACTTAAAAAGAAGAAAAAAAATGAGAAAATTTAAAACATAGCTAAATCTCGCTCAGTCATTTTAGCTGGCATTGCCATTGCAAAAATTTTGTTAGCTCTCAAAAAATTATTTGGCAGCATTAAGATATTGCTAGCATTAGTATTGTAGAATTTTATTTGCTTTGAGAGAATTACTTGGCAGCATTGCGGTATTGCTGGCATTGTCATTGTAAAATTTTGTTTACTCTGTAAGAGTAACAGATTGCTTTTGTTTATTTTGCAAATTTTTCAAATTTCACTTTCAAAAAGCCGTTCTCACTCACCATCCGACATCGATGCCTTCCTTAAGAGTTAAGTAAAAAAAAAGAGTAAATTTTACTCACAAAAAGACATCCATCCCTAAGAACACGTAGTAAGATAAATTTTAAATCTCAGTAAGTCATTCTTACTCTTGGAAGAGTGCAAAAACGGGTTCCATAAGAACATACAGCAAAGTAAATTTTACTCTCAAAAAGAAAAAATTTTAAATAAAACAAAACAAAACACATACATGCATATATACAAAACATATTTTGTATATTATGATAAAGGATCTGTAAACATATTTGCCCTGCATTCCCCAACTTGTGAAAATTATAAAAATACTCCAAATAGCTACGAGTTCTTCTTGATAAGCATATTGTTGCACAATCTACTCTCTCCGACATTTCGCCATTTAACGATGCTCTCTCGCTCGCTATCTCTCTCTCTTTCTCTATACATATATAGAATCTCTTAAAACCAAAAGGCTAATAGACAGATTCGAAAGCTCTTTCTAACTAACACACTACTATGAAGCCCGCTAGTTTTGAAAGAAACGTTTACTTTCTCAAAATTAAAGCACAATAAACAGGCACTTATTATTACATTACTTTAAAAAAAATATGAAACGAAATAATCATAATAATAATAATAATAAATAATAAAAATTAATTCATTTATAGTATCAATCAGTCATTCTTGAAAGTACAGAGTACTCAGCATATTATAATGTTGCTGAGAGATTCAAGGCCTATGAAGCTTTATTTTTTGTTTTTTTTGTTTTGCGAGTGTTGCAAACATTTTGATAAAGTGAACACACAGCTCAAGTCAAGCTAATCAAGCTAACATGTCTTCCGTGTTTTGTCGTGTTTGTTGTTGCACCTACAGTCTTAGTCGATTCAGTCAGCTTCAGTCAGTTCAGTCTTTAGTGTCTTCAGTCATTTTTTTCTTTCTGAAAGGAGAGGATGTATATGAGATATGTGTGAACTTTTTTATCGAATCGAAATATATCATATACGTAAATGTGTGTGCGGTTCGGAAATTTTAAATAAATAATAATTTGAAGAATAACAACAATTAAAATAAGAATTTTCTTAGTTAAACATAATATATTCGTTGTTCTTATCTGTTTGTTGTTTCGGTTTGGAATTTTGAACGAGAAACATGTGTGAAAATTGGGAAATTTTCTTAACGTGAGAGACTTATGCGACATAAAATATACTTTTGCATATGAGATTGAATTAATTCAAATAATTATTTAATGCTAACTATACGATCGTTATAACGTGACCGTATAAATTAAAATTGCAAAAAGAATTTATGCCCAAAAAAAAATAAAAATAAAAAAATAAAAAAAAAATAAATTGATATTTTTAATGAATTTTAATCAATTTTTATTAAATCGATCTTAATTTCTTAATTTTTTACACTTTTCCATAATTATTTTGATTATTTTTCACTTGGCGTTATTAAGACTGTTAAGATTATTTTTGTTGTCTTACGTACATATATCTATATATATATATATATATATATATATATACGGGTGAAATAAACGTTGTAGCGGAACAAGCGGAACAGATGAGATTTGAGTGTGTTTTATATATGTGAAACGAAAAATTCTTTATAAGAAAGAATATGAAACGCGAATATCAATAAGTGAACGAAAAGAAATCCAAAAGAAATATAAATAAATAAATAAATGCGACAACAACTATAAGAAAGCATCGGGACTATCCTTAAATTTTTTCTTTTTTTTTTCATATAACTCAATAAAATTTCATTTGTTATTTATTATGCACACACATATATATATATATATATCGATGTGCATGTGCTTTGTAAAGTAGTTAAATAAAACCTGAAAAAAAAAGAAAAAAAAAAAAAACGGTAAGTTGAACGATTAACAATTTGAGAAAAGTAAAGAAAGGAAAATACGAAAACATCAAATTTAGAAAAAACCAAAATAATAATAATAATAATAATACGAAGAAGAAGAAAAACAAGAAGAAGAAGTGCTTAAAATCAAATCAAAACACAAAACAGCCATTAATAGCAAGGTTTTGCTTTTCTTTTCTTTATTTATTTATTTTTATTTTTTCTTTTTTTTTTTTTTTTTTTTTTGTTATGAAAAATAATAATAATTACACACAATGCAAGAGTAAATGAAGTGTAGAAGAAATTTCAATGAAATCATAACAAAGGCAAAGAGATATTCAAATGAAATGTAAAAAGTCTTTTACATGCAATCAATGGTTAGAAGGAAGAGTTCAACGAAATAATATAACAAATGTTTGGTTTTTCGATTTAAAGCCATGAAAGAGATGAAGAAGAGAAGAGAAAATCTCTACAATAAGGAAATTAATATGAAAAGAAAAGAAAAAGTTTGAATACGTAGACGTAAGGCAAACAAAAAAAAAAAAAAAAAAAAAAAGGGCTGCGAAAGCAAATTTGCTAAAGGTATGTATGTATGTATGTATATGTGTACGGTAACTATTTGAAGACAAACAAAATTGCATATAATGCATAGATCATTTTAAGAAGATTTTATATGAAAATTTTTTCTTTATTTATTTATTTATTTATCTTTCTTTGTTTTTCATGCTTTTTTCTTTAATTTCTCTTGCGTTCATTTAGTTATTGTTAATGTGTACGCTTGCATGTGTGTTTATGTATATGCGCGCTTAATATAAATATATATATATAAATATGTATGCATGTTTATAGATTTGTATGCTTAAGTAAAATTTAATTAAGAATGCTTGTAAATATGTACATTTCTTTCTTCACGATGCATTCCTTAAGCTCTGCCAATGGTAGCAGTAGTCAGCAAAAGCGTTTACAGTGAGTGGCGACGCTGACCGCATCAGCAGCAGCCTTAGTCAACATTCAAGCAGAAAAGTTGTTTGACTTGTTTGCTTCACTGGTTTTTGGCAGCATTTATCTATGTAGCCAATTATATATATATATATGTATACATATATATATATATATATATATATATTCATAGGTAGATATGTCGAGTCAAATATTAATGTTTGTTTATATGTGCCGTTGTTAGTTTGCCACAAATAAATTTTCCTTGTGCTGTGTGTGCATTTTTATTTATATTTTTTTGTTTTTTTTTTTTTTTAATTTTTTCTCTCACAGTATTTTCAACATACACAACATGTGCCTACACCTGTAATTATTTATAATTTATTTTTTTTCATTATTCATTTTTGTTTCTTTTAATGTGAATTTCTGGTTATCGAAAATTTGTTTTTGTTTTTCGCTTTTTTTTTTTAATTTATTTTTCCCATTTCAAGCCGAACAATTTTTACATGTTTTCTCAATTAAATTGTGATTATTTTGAATTTTTTCGATTATTATTTTTGGTAATTAGTTTTTAGCAAAATATTTGAGAGAGAGAGAGAATGTGTTCAAATGCGAGTTCGTTACTTAAGTCTTTTCTGTTTTCTTATAAGAATTCTATTAAAAAAGTAAAAAAAAAAAAAAAAAAAACAGAGGAAAAACGATCTGATACCTTAATAAACGCACTTAGTGCATTTTGATAATGGGAATGGTGTGCTTGTGAAGCGCTATAAAACAAAATATAATGAAAAAAAAAAAAAAACAGATTCTGAATAATTGAAGTTTACTTGCTTTCAATTGGCCGCTTTTCTGCCAATCAGAATGCCTTAAGGAATCGCCTCTGTACAAAGCACTTTAAAGGTTTCGCTTAATATAGATAAGTTAGTTATAAAAAAAAAAAAGCTTTACACTTTTTCATAATAATTTCTTAAAAGTCTCCTAAACTAAGTTCTACAGTAAAGTGAGTTTTTTTTTTTTGCTTCTTTTCTCTTAAAGAAAAATTGAAGAATTGATAAATTTTTGAAAATATCAAAAAAACTCAATCAATTAAGGCTTTATTTTAATTTAATTGTACGACGAACTAACGGGAAGATTCAACTCGACGAAGGCTTCGGTTACAATCAATCTTTCAATCTTATTAGTTGTTTTGCAAAAATTTTGATCATTTTTCACTTGAGAAAGACATTTATCGAAAAAATTTGCTACGATTTATATTAAGCAAAATATTTTCCGTCATTTTCTATAACCAATTGCCGTATTTCTGGCAACCTGGCGTTACCGTGTCGGAAAAACTATATCGGCTTGGCAGCGATCCAATCGTCGAGTCATTTTCGCACTTCTTCAGCAAGAGGGCTGCATCGATCCGACCAAGTGACGCTATGTCTGGTGAGTATGTTACGTGCGGGAGGACTTCTCATTCGAGCTGCAATCGTGCATCCTGCAACGATTGCAACGTTGTCGTGCAATAAGATGACTTTGCGTCTATTAAGCCGCTACTGCTGGCCTTTTTTGCAACAATCAAAACAAATCGTTCAATACTATCCTCAATTGACTTTGTTAGATATCAGCGTTGACAGTTTCATTCGGTTTTAACACTACATCTTGCCGAACCCATCATATGCACAGCAAAACTTTATCGGCCACGAATGCTCCACTTCGATGTCGATGTGGATGGCTCACCTGGACGAACCCATCCCTTTTTGCCATTGGAGTTGTCCTAGTAGATCCACTGTTCATCCTTAGGCACAGGTTCGAAATGGAATTTTTATCATTTTCACCAATAAATGTCGCCGATCAAAGTACATGCAAGCACCTATTAAATGTCTTTCTGTTGTTATAGAGTTTATGATGCGTTTTCAATTTTTCGAAAGCTCCTCAGGAACAGATGTTTAATCTTTCGAACTTTTCACAGGCAGTCTTAGATCACTTGCCCAAGCATAAAAGCAATTGCTAAGAATATGTTTAGCTATTCCGCAATCGATTTCTCGATGGAGGCGTATTTATCGGCTAATCACTGTTCACGAAAGTCCTTAGCGCTTGAATTTGCAGCCAATTTTCAAATCTGTTTGTTAATATTACTGCGACCAAAAAGTAAGACCAATAAACTGCGCAGGTAAATCGCATTTCAGAAATATTCTTAATAAATTCACTTATGCAAGCAGCTCTTTGCCGCAATCACCTTCTGTCAGATGTACAAATAAGTTCCCTCGTTTTTTTTTTTTTTTTGGTTTTTTGATAAAATTCAACTTTATGCATAGTTACACAGCTTAACAATTTTTTTTACCATTTATTAGATAGCTTACGGATGGCCTCGCGATGAGATAGAACCATCGATCGAGTTTCATATATTTTCAACATCCGGGAATCGCTGACCTGCTAAATCGTTGATTGCATCGACGTGAATAAGTAGTAATCGCAAGGGGTCAGGTCTGGGGAAGACCGAAGCATGCAATAAAGCCAGCCCAAGCTGGGAATTATTTCCATGTTTCTTTTTGTGCGAGACGGACGGACTTAAGATTGTTTTTCCGAAATCTCGCAAATCATTTTCTAACTATTTCATAGCTTTCTGCATTTTCATTCCAAGCCAATTTTTTTCCCAGATTGACCCAATTAAAAATATAGAAAAACGCAGTGCCCTAAGTGATATCCAGCTCTTGGAACTTTCATATAATTTCAACGGCATTTTGTAAGCAACTGGAACTTACATCGTTCAAACATTGCGGATCCCTTCCAGAAAAATATACTTACGAAATATAAAACTTTTATATACCAAAAATGTATAATTTTGATGATTGGACTATATAAATCTATTTTTCAGATCGTGTGCCCGTAAAAGGATTCTTATGAAAAAATACACTTTTACATGACAAAACTGTATAACTTTTCGTATCCTATGATAAAAATTGGTCCACCATAGTGATTTGTAAGTTTGGACTATATAGGTCTATTTTTCAGATCCCACCTATTAAAAGAATTCTTACGAAAAAGAAATCTTTACAGAGAAAGGTCATACAATTTTTGATATTTTATACGAAAAGTTGGTCCAAGCCGTACATTTTTCGGATTTCTCTCTTCCTCCTTCGGACCTTTTTGCAATGGATTGGACATCAGGTAGATTTTATTTTTTGGCGTTTTTATTTTTCTTTTTTCTTTTTTTTTTTTGTATGATTATTACAGTCTATCTTTGCCCTTATCCCCTCTCGCCTTCCTGAGCCTTCCTGACTATCTGTAAAAGAGACATCCGTTGTTTGAATGATTAAACCTAAGGAAAGAGAAGAATGCAAAGAAAAATCTACTTAAGTTAATTCTAGATGCAATTATTATTTAACAATTGGAAAGAAACGAAAGGAACCATAGCGAGGACAGAGAAAAATTCATTAGCTTGCTCTACAAAGTCGATTAGACTTGACGTGAAATTGACGGTATTTTATCCACGAATTTAAAGATCGATTTTTACTACAGGACTAGCAGCAAAATTCCCTTACATTTCCATCGAACATTTGTTTAATCCATTTGAAGAATGATTATTAGTATTAACAAAAAAAATACAAATTTTTTAAAGTTTATGATAACAAGTGTAATAACCTATCTATACCTATACCTATCTATGTATATAGGTATATGGTATGCAATATAAATTTTATGCGCAATGAATCAGCCTATCTACCATTGTAATTAAGGATCCAATCGGTTATAATAGCCGTAGCTAGACGTGCGTTCATTCATTTTATTAATTTACTACGAACTGGTGATTAAATACAAATTTTATTATAAACCAATAAAAAAAACAAAGAGTTTTAACGCCTGGTTAGTTAATTATATAAAAAAAAAAGAGGAAATAATAGAATAAAAGAATATTATATATTATGTAAGTTATTGTCTAACAAGCAAGCAGACGCAAGTTATATATGAAGCGAAAGCTACTAGATAAACATGTATAACGAAACATATTTGGCGAAGCTTTTTTCGTGACGTCGTTGATGTGCCCAAAATGCTTCTCGATCTAATAGGTCAATCATTATCACTGATTACATAATTACAATCAAGCTGAATGTTAATCATACTATAATCGAGACATTTCATGATATTTGCAAAAGCCTACGCTCCGAATTTATGCTGTTCTTGGACTAGAGCGATATGTCTAAAACTCGAATATTAAAATATAAAGCTTTTGCAGTTTTTGACCTGTTTGCAGCTTATTGCTAATACTGAAAGTCAAAGACGCCCATCTCTTGGAATTATGTCCCGAGAAAAGACATATAGCACAGTATAATTATAGCCGATAGTATTCGCCCAATTCTTGGTATTAATATCTATCATCAAGATCGTCAGGAAGTTAGAGGACGGTGCCGTTCATTCGTGCGAGACAACTTCAAGGTCTCCATGAAGCCGTCAATACAAGCTGGGCATTGACATAGATATCATTTCTATACGACACTACGTACCGTTCACGCTAACAAATTTAACAATTCTGGTTTAATACATTTCTTGCGTTTATGATCTCAAAAAAATAGCGATAACATCAATTAATTATTAGATTTTAATATGTTATAGGAAGCTCGGTCCACTATCCGGTCCCTATCCCAACGGTTGTTTTTGTAATGAGTTTTCAAAGTTCAAAACGTTGTACGCGAAATGGTCTAAAAAGGCATTCTAATCCGGGTCAGTTTCTATAGCGTTCGTCCTTGGGCTAAAAATGTGCTGTGAACCAAATTCGATGAAAATATCTCAAAAATCGGGAGCTGTAGGCTGTATACAAAAAAAAAAAAAAAAAAAAAAAAGGAACGATAGACAGACAATCTTAAGTCGGTATAATAAAATGTGGATCCAACTGAAGTACTTTTGTATGTTGCATTCATCCGAACAAAGGTAATATGCCCTTATATGAAAAGTGTAGGTGTAGGGTCGACTGTGACGTACAATTGCATATTAACATGTACTGAAAGCGGTGCATGTGGCAGTACAATTTTTATGAATATAATATAAAACAAAATCACAATAACTTCTTTTTAATTGCTAACACTTTCATAGCATCTCAGCCGAGAAGTGCGTTTCTTCCATAAACTATTAGTAGCGATGTTTAATTAGTCGTTGTCTCGTTTCTTTTATTTATTTTTTTTTTTTTTTGATTATTGCAATCAAATGGATTTCTTGAAAAGAATTTTGAATAATTTGCAGAAACCGTCGTCTATTGCATAAACTGGCGATCGTATGAAAAGACATTTGAACGCAAATAGCAACCCTAAGGTAGATGTAGTAAATATTTGCTTTTCTCCTATTGCTTTCAAATCATTCAATCAAGGCGAGAGAGTCAACCTCAATCATGGAGATTTTTATTTATTTTTTTTTTTATTTATATTTTCTTAATGCGTTTTACTTGAATTGCTGTTAATTGTATTTTAATTTATAAAATTGTTAAAAATACATTTTTAATACTTTCCACAGAGTTGAGAATGAAAAGAAAAGAAAAGAAGCGAAAAAAAAAAGTATAAATGAAAAAACACGGACAGTAACAGCAATGTGCAAAGGCAGCAACAAATTATATTGTCATTAAATGAAAAAATAAAGCCAAAGAACTTTAATTGGAAGCGACACACGGCTAAGACAAACAACATCATAGAAGTGATAGCCGCAATTTATATATAAATATATATATATATATATATATATATATATATGTATTTGTGTGTTTGTTTATACTTGTGTGCGCCAATATGTACAATAATTTAGTAGAGTATAAACTTTTTAATGGCCAAACAAATGTTACCTGAAATTTCTGGCGAAATTTTGATGCGACGTGTAATTCGTTCTTTTTCATCTTCCGTATCTTCTTCTTTTTTTTTTAATCTAATCCTATAGAAAGATATTATGGTCTTAGAAAAAGTCTCTGGCATCGTATTTTTGCTTAATCTTTTTTAGTGATGAGCAAACAAGAGAAAAGTTATTGAAAGTAACTTAGTAACTTAGTGTAATGCATATATACCTACACACACACACACGCATACATTTCACATCAACAACTGAAACTTAACTGAGTCTTAACGATTTCATTACTTTATCCCACATCTTGTATGTTTAATGCCTTATACTTTAGCTACATATATACATGATGCGTGTCGTTGTGATTAACAGTTGCTTATGTCATTTGATGATACACATCTACCGTCATAAAAAATCATCATTAATCAACGGCAAACATTTTCAATGACTGAAACAATTCAATGAAAATTGAAATTTTTACTCGCACACAATAACAAATAATGTAAATTCCAATTTGTTACACTTAATATATCGATCAATAAGTCCCGGGATTAAGTAAGAAAAATATGGTTCGTTTTTTATTATATTGTCTCGCAGAAAGATGTTATATAATCATCAATATAATGCGTCTTTAACATTTTGTTGCCTTTTTCATACAATCAGTTGCCAACATTGCGATCTAAATACGCTACAGTTGCGGCAATGATCGCATCATTTGACCTAAGTCGTCCATTGAGATATTACTATTGCAGTTAAATCGTTCAAACACTGATCAATCATCCGCTTGAGTGAGCGAGTATGTAAGAATGGCGACTGCCAAGCTAGTGTTCACGGATTTAAATCTCAGAGCGATAGAGCTTACTTTGGCCATACATATAAAGAGTGATCAGTCAGTAAAAACATAACTGGGCAAACATCCGCTAGACTGCGGCCACCATCTCCCTACTTCTTTCCTCATTACTCTCTGATCGATCCCGTGTTACGCGAATAGGGGACATCTCCTTAGTGATTGGCCGCATTAAAAAAAAATTTGATGCTTTTGTTCCACTCTAAGTAAAGGTGGTTATCCTTTCTTTTGCACGCCCATGAAAATGGTTAAAGTGCAGCCTTTCGATATCTTTTTGAAATTGTTTATGTCTAGCAACTTCACTTTTCATATAAAATTTCGACACGCTTCAGGCTTGAAAAAAACGTTACCAGTTATAGATGTTGTTTATAAATCGAAATTCCTGGAACTTATTGACCAAAATATTATTATCGTTTGCTTTGTACCCACAAATATAAATCTATAGCCGTTAAGATCTTATATTAAATTTCTTACACGATTTGTAACGTGTGCCTTTATAAAGAATTGTAAAAGCGCTACACCATACAAACACCTCAACTAAACCATAACGTTTTGCTTTAAGAGAGGATAGCAATAGTAATAAAATATAAGCGATCTGAAGTTTTAGCCCATTTCACATTAAGTGCTGAAGGACCGAAACTAAAAAAAAAAAATAAAACTTAGCCTCTAATGTCAAAAGCAGCCAAATAAATAAGAATCGCGGCTATCAAGTCAGACATCGCCGCGGCTATTGATCATGCTAAGGTAAAAAAAATAAGCAATGTTTAATACTCTTACGATTCCAATCAATACCCGGTTAAATTAGTTTTCGTGATATGTTCTTCATTTGTGCGATTTGTTTTATGCGACTTATTTTGTTTATGCGATTTTTTTCTTGTGCAATTTTTTCTTATCAGGTGCATAAATGTCTATAGAAACAGACATAGAGAGAGCGAGAGAGAGAGAGAGCGAGAGAGAGAGAGAGAGAGAAAGAGGAGAAATATGTGCGTTAAAATGAGAAATAAAAATGCCTTTATATGTTTTCATGTGTAATTTAATTGTTTTATTTGTTTTGAAAAGCACTTTCTAGATACTTTTTAAAGCTTTGATATATTTTGCTAGGGGAGATTTTTTTTTATAGCGTCTCTCTTTATCGCATAGAATAAACTTTCTTTAATTTGTTGCGATAATATGCTATGTGTTATAGCTATTTACGAAGTTTCTGAATATTTGTTTTCTTGTTACGGTTTCTTTGTAAAGCACAAAAACAAGTTCTCCAGTATCATACTAATAAATAAGTCGCTATTAGGTGATGAGATCCGTATTGATCCTCTCCGATGGCTTTATAAGGTAAGAAGTTTAGCGTTTCGAAATCGTTGATGGGATGTGAGAGTGTTCAAGATTCGTTTTAAAGTGTGAATACAATTTTCTTAGTTAGTCATTATTATAAATTTCTTTCTGTTTTCGATTTGTTATTATATACGCACGAACAAACGCAATCATATATATAAAATAGTTATGTTGTACAGTACAGCAATAAATCCAACAATAATAATGATGTATTTGCTTGTTTTTCTTAGCAATTATTTTGAAAGAAAGTCAAGAAAGAGAAAGAGGAAAAAATGTTAGAAAACTCGAAAGAAAATATTTATAAGAAATATGTAAGAAATTTTAATTTTTGTATGTATTTTATGCACGTTGACGTTGAATATATCAAATAATTAGAAAATGTTGTTAATTCTTGAGCGTAAGTGTGCTGTTGAGTATATAGC